ATATATATATATATATATATATATATATATATATATATATAAAATTTATGAAAGTCTAAGGAATAAATTTATCACTAATCAACTGATCCTAACACATGAAGAGGAACATCTTAACATAAACACATGGTTGAATTTGTAGTTTGCTGGTGAATAATTTGTTTCTTAAGTTACAATCAAGAAGGATAAGCCAAGAATACTAGACCAACTAAAACGAGTACTGGAAACTACATATGTATTGGTTACTGTGTAAGTATGTCCGTAAACATTTACACCTATACCAACGCTAAATCCCAACCATCAAGGAAGATAACTAGTAAGTTTATTGGATAGGATAAAACTATTTTCTTCAGAGCCATATCATAAATATTTCCTCTCGCTTTTATAAAGTACTTTAGACAGTTCTTGTTGCTACCACTGTATTGTAAAGAAGCCAGCAAATTCTATCCCACTGTGTTCTTAGAGCAGCGATCTAAATAGTTTCTGTAGGATACTTCCACTTTTTGATTTATTGGATTGGCCCAGACTTTCTGCAAAGTCATAACATTTTATAATAGTTTAGACAATTGTCATTGTAACCATGATACATCAACAAGTTGATATATCCTATCACACTGTGTTTTGAAAGCAGGGAAAATTCTGGGAATTGCGCCACATGAACTTGTTTGATATTGATGGTGTCAAAGTATTGAAAGTACAGTAACACCTAAACAGGAACAGTGATTCATTGCTTTATAATCGGCAGATTTCTGCTTTAGCCACTAACAGTAGAATAACGATAGGAAATAGGTGTAAAAAGATTAGAAGAAACTCAGAGGAAATTTATTTGGAACTTTACTGTCTGTACTGAAGAAAACAGAGTAATATTCATTTTGTTTCTTCTAATTTCTAACTTATCTACTAGCAATAAAATAACTACAGAAAATAAATGTGAAAGGTGAGAGCATAAACTCTACTAAAAATCACTGTAGTAATCACTACTAAAAATACTATACATTTTATTTTGCAACCTTTATTTTCATTATACTTTGATTACTTGCCTACAACCTGGAGAAATAAGTATAATGTTAGGGTACAAAAAATAACAAAATATAAAGCTTTACTGAAAATAAAAATATTCAATGTTTAATTACAAGGTTTTTTATTTGTTTTAATTATTTATTATTATAAAAGTAACTAAAATCATAAAAATAGAAAGTTGTTAGGTAAGATAATGAAAGAAAAAATAATAAAAAACCTTCATGGTGTATATGCACCAGAAGCTTCTGCATTACACTGTTTGATAGGGTCATGTTGATGCATGTGCACAGTGTAATTTTTAAATTCTGTTGGGGTATTTTTAATCAGACATGGTTCAGAGGTCAATAAAACAAATTATTAAATATAAATAGATTTATACTTTTAACAGATTTAAGCTATTTAGAATAAACATTTGTGGGTTCCTATTACAATTTGCAGTTATTCTAGAACAAAAAAGTAATTTAGATTTATTTCTTAATTTTTATGATTGTTACGAGGTCGGTCAAATCGATCAGCATCATATAGAGTTAATATTGATAAAATGACAGATTAAATATAAAATTTTGTTTAAAAAAACGTTTGATTATCTAGAAGGATAAAGAGATTATGCCAATGAAACTTGACAAATTTCAGATAAAGAAAAGTATTTTTAATCTTAAAATCAAAATTACTTTGTACACTGGATAGTCAACATTCTGAAAGAAAAAATTCCAGAGTAAATCTTTAATAAAAAAAAAATCTTAAAACATAATTCAAAAACGAGAGTAGTTTGTGTATGAAATCTTTATAATGTTTACTAATAATTTGCAGAGTTTTGTAAAGACTTGCTTACATTTTCAAAAATTATAGTACAATTGCTCTCGTATACACTTTCCTGGTTATGAGCTGTGTGGAATCCACCCAACCTTTAATGGAAGGGTTAATTAAATTTTGAATGTAATGCAGTACCATATGCAGAAAGGAATTTTAAAATGGTGCTGGGGGCAATAGGGTTAGCAGCCAAGTATGTTAAACTGACTTGGTTGAGTACTGTAGTTTGATTATGAATAAGTTTGTTATACAGTGACTTTTTTTTTGTTATTGGTATTATGTAAGATCTTAAAATGTTAATAAGTACAACACACCTAAAGTAGCCTCCATTGCACTCTATCAATTTGATATCCTTACATTTCTAATATCTTTCACATGTACCTGCAACCATCTCATAGTAGGTTCTAATGTAATCGTATTTGCAAAGTTATAAGCCAGATTTAATGTTTTCAATTGATAACTTGTGTTTTTATATTTAAAAAAATTGTATGAGGAGATAGTCAGTCTCTCTCTAGCTCTATATATATACACACACACACACACACACACATGCACGCGCACACACACACACACACACACACACAAAGAAAAAGAAAGTATGCAGCATGTTTTCTAATATA